GGCGCCCCCCCCCCCCCCCCCCAAGCTGCCCCCACTCTGGAGGGGAAAGCCCTCTGAGCCCCCCCATGCAGAGAAGACACGGATCCCTCCGGGTGCGGGATTTCCCGAGCTCTCCCCCCGGCCCTTCAACCACTCACTCCGGTATCGCCCGGCTCCAGCGCTGTCTAATTAAGGAGACAATTCCTGGATAGCCTGGGCAACAGGACGGATGGGAGCCTGCCACGGGGGGGACAGACGCGGACGGTACCGGGGTCTGGAATGCTGCACTCGAAACCGCTTGTCCTTCCGAGAAACGGTCGGAAACGCCTGTGGTGGAGCGTCAGTGTTGGTGACTGTGCGTGGACAGCCGCCGCAACCAACCAGGGACTGACACTACCCCGCTACGCCGAGGACAGAAACCAGTGGGGGGGCAAGGCTGTTAACGGTGCAAGGATCAGGCTGGCTTGCTGCCTGGCCGGGTGCCTCGGAGCAAGCGGACACAGCTCGGAGGCTGGACGCCTGCCCCGGGGCTCCGGTAACTCCGTCTGGTGCTAGGGACACCCTTCCTACCCAGCCTGGCTAACAGCCATTGATGGACCTAACCACTACGAATCTAGCTCTTTTTTGAACCCTTTATGTTCTAGCTTTCACACCCTCCGGCGAGGAGTTCCACAGGTTGGCTGTGCGCTGCGTGAAGAAAAACGTCCGTTTGCGACTAACACGGCTACCTCTCTGATACTTGGTTCCTTTGGTCTGCTTGAAACCTGCTGCCTCTTCATTTCATTGGGTGACCCCCCATTCTTCTATTGTGGGAATAAAGTAAATTAACTTTTCTTTATTCACTTTTTCCACACCTCATGATTTTATGGGTGCCCTCTTAGCCTCCTCTTTTCTAAGCTGAAAAGTCCCCGTCTTTTCAATCTCGCCTCATCTGGGACTCGTTCCAACCCCTAATAATGTTTGTTGCCCTTTTCCAGTGCCAGTAGATCTTTTCGGAGATGAGCTGACCACATCCGTACGCAGTATTCAAGACGTGGGCGCACCATGGTTTTACGTAGCGGCAGTAAGATAGTCTCCGTCTTATTCTCTCTCCCTTTTTAAACGATTCCTAACACCCTGTTTGCTTTTTTACGGCCACTGCACACTGCGTGGACGTCTTCAGAGAACGATCCACGCTGACGCCAAGATCTCTCTTGAGTAGCTGTAGCCAAATGAGTCCCCTACATTGTATAGATAGTTGGGATGATGTGTTCCAACGTGCAGTACTTCACGTTTATCCACCTTCAATTTCATTTGCCATTTAGTTGCCCAATCACTTAGTTTGGGGAGATCTTTTTGAAGTTCTTCACAGTGTGCTTTGGTCTTGAGCAGTTTAGTATCGTCTGCAAACTTTGCCACCTCCCTGCTCACCCCTTTCTCCGGATCATTGATGAATACGTTGAACAGGATCGGTCCTAGGACTGACACCGCTAGTTACCCCTCTCCATTCCGAAAAGTGACCATTTATTCCTCCCCTTTGTGTCCTGTCTTTGAAGCAGTTTTCGGTCCATGAAAGGACCTTCCCTCTTCTCCCACGACGGCGTGCTGGGATTACGTTGCTGAATACGGAGGTCAAGGGACACATGGCCGTGTGCCTGCCACCCCAGAAGCAAGCTCAGGACCATGTACGCTTTGCCTTGATTTTTTGCAAGACAGAGCAACAGAAAACCCTGCCCCCATGCCCACCGCGGCGGCCAGAGGAAAGTCACTAGGAACGGAGCAAGTGTCCCCTGCCAGCTGCAAAGCACCAGGGACAGAGCTGCCTTAAGGGTGCCACTTTACCCGCAGGGTCCTTGGCGGGACCATCTGCCCACGCCCGGGGTAAAACCAGCCGGGGTAACACACGTCGGACTGAGCCGAGGGATTTTTATTCATTAAAAAACAAAGCAACAGGGAACGTTTCCTCCAGCAACCAGAGCTCTCCGCTGTGGGGCAGAACGCCCCCCGTCATCCCCACTGCAGGTTGGGTGGGACCAGCCACCCGCCAGGGGGCGGGGCCTGAAGGGACGGAGGGAGGTCCTGGATCGGAGGCCAGCCCGGCGGGTACTGGAAAACCGTCTTCTCTGAGGGCGAACTGGGAGAGAGAAAGAAACAGCAGCGCTAGGGCAGGTCCCTTCCGGAACGCTGCTCCCCTCCCGCCGCCGGCTGTGCCTCAGTTTCCCCGTTACGCAGCAATGCTGGGCAGCTCTCTGCATGCGTGTCAACGCCCCGCAAAGATTCTGACAGCTCTGAACAGGCCCCCGCACGGGAGAAACCCCGGGGGGGAAGGCGCTGCCTGGGGCCGGCGTTCACCG